TAGTACTGTATTTTTGTGCATTTATTCCATTGAAATGTAAAAGAGGTAGTGTGTACACTGTAATATCCTGTAAAAGCTTTCTCTGTTATTGTAGTCTTGCTGTTCACACCCATTGTTGGCAGGAGAAGTAGTTTCACCTCTCCACATTGCTGCCAACTTGAGTTCAACATTGTGGGTTGTTTGGAGGGGGGCAATAGACTGGACCCGGCTAATTCTCACCAGCAATGAAAACACAGTATATCGACACATAAACACAGAAAGAACAACCCACTAACCTAACAGACACATGGAGATGACAGAGGGAGTTCACTGTAATGTTGTCTAATTTATAAGAGGAAAACTTGGGTTACTCAACAAATCTTTAAATATTAGAGGAGCTTATAGAAAGTATTTTTTATACAACAGGATAACATATTTATAAATAAAATTAGCAATAGATATTGCACGTCCTTGTTTTCTGATGTGGGAGTTATTTTATATTTCTTAAATTTCCTAAAATGTGCTTTAGGATTTCAGGATATGTTGTTTTTTATGTTGAATGTATCTGCTTTGTGTTTCCTTTTAGCATCTTGATTGATAGATAGACCCTCACAATATACCCAACCCCCAGTTTGAGAGGATTTTGTCTTAAGGCAGGGGCACCTTTAGATATTTATATTCAATGCTTTATTAATGTGGCACAATAAGAGTTAAAACATCTTCATTTGGGGCTTTTTCAAAGTAAATATCAATATCTGTTTGTGATTAAATCTGAATATAATTTCTGCCAACCATCAAACGTGAGTTGTGTGTTAAAATATTCTATTCCTCCTTTAGCTGGGGACCCCCTACATCCCACTCAAGGACCCCTGTTGGTCCACAGACCCCAGTTTGAAAACCACTGCCCTTTATCATAGTACATACTACTACCTCGTTACTATCGGGCAGAGACAGTCTAGCTCATTCTGCTTGTTTCCAGTATTCATGTTGACCTACACTAACCAGCTGCCGGCTGCTTCGTATTTATCCTTCCGATATGAAAGTAGAACAAACTGTCCCGTCTTGCTTTCAACAAGAAAGAGATTAAATGTATTTCTCAAAATGTCAGACTATTTCTTAGATGTGAAACAGAGGCGACATAGTGCAAAAACCTAGGGGAGACAGGGGATCAGTAAGGGTCCATATAGCACACACACAAGGCATCCCTTAAGTACAATATCAATAAGGCAGGCTCTGCATTATTAGCTCTGTAATGTTGCTGCCCTCGTACAGCAGCGCTCCCCAACCAGAGGGTCGGGACCTCTGGAGTGGTAACAAGATAAATCAGAGGGGTCTTGAGCAGAGTGTGAACTGTCTACTCAAGGAGAGGACCAACTGTGACTCTTGTTGCAAAGAAACATTCATAGCTGCAATAGCCAACTTGCTTTATGTCAGCATCTGATATTTAATAATCAGTGCAACTGAGACATCAAATGTAAGAGTCAAATATCAAATATACCCTCTAAATCCTTAAGTGTTAAAGTAGCCTGCCACAGACTGGAGGGAAGTGAATTAATGATTACTGATGAATCACCCTCATGCATGATTAATACATCAATAGTAGCCTAATTTTAAACATGAACAACGATGATGAAGATACAAAAAAAATAGAAGTGCATGGCAAAATTAGCACATTGTCAATATTTCATAGACAAATCATGTCTTCAGGGGAGCTCATGACTTAATAAGAGGAGCCAAACTTCCTCTGGCTCCCCTGTAGTTCGCACCTTGGTCTTAAGATGATTAACCATAACCACACATACTCGTACTGAAGAGAAAGTAAAAAAAGTCTTATCACTCCCTCCTAATGTGGCAGATTACTCCTGGTTGGTTTACCTACTATCGGTAACCTAATCCCAGTACAGCAATATTAAAGTTACATAACTTGATTGCTTTCTGTTTTGGATTACGTCAACACCAAACATGCAAATAAAAATGTATCAATACTTTTACAAGTTCTTTAAGACAACAGAATAATGTAACCTTAAGAGGAAATGGAAAAAGATTTTTTAGCATCAAACATGTGTCCTCTGCTCAGTTTATGCTTAAAGAAAAACTTGCTTTTCATTAAACAAATTCAGGCAGTATAACTTTTAATAGCAGGAAGACACATTCCTCTTACTTAACTCTTACTACTTCCTGGATTCAGTACAATCAGGGGTTTTCCTGCTGTTGTCTAGAAAACAATAACAAAGACTTTAGTAAATCTGTGTTTTAAAACACCTGCCAATATATAATCCATTGAATTTAAGTGGCAGGTTGTCCCTCTTGATTGCATTTAGATTAAGGATTGTGCCTTTAATATCTCTGGCTATGTTATGTAGGAGGTTATGTGTGAATGACCGAAACCACTGCCTCTTCTTGAATATGTGAACCTGTTATGTTACAGATTTAATGTGAGAAAGGGGCTTAAAAAGGTGTTTGTCTGTCATCTGCCCACAACTCTAAGCAACCATACCAACAATGATACAATTAAAGGTCCAGTGTTTAATATTTAGGAGGATCTGTTGGCAGAAATGGAATATCATACTCATAGGTATGTTTGATTAGTTTATAATCATTGTGTTGTCGTTACCTTACAATGAGCCATTTTTACCTACAGAGGGTGCGGGTCCTCCTCTATGGAGGCCACCATGTTTCTACAGTCGGGACAAACCAAACACTACATCTGAGAGTTAATTTAAGCTGTTAATTTCCTGATAATGTGATAAAATAAATATATCAGGAAAAGACAAGAGAGTTTATTGCGCTCAAAGGTCCCTGCAAGGTCCAGATAGCTTTTATGCACTTTTTCATGGCTGCTGGCTTAATAAATCACTATAAGAAAATTAATATTAACTGGCTTGTTGTGTGTTATTACTCCATATATTGTCCATTATGTTGATCTATAATACACCATCTAGCAGTTGCTGGCATGGCACTTCTCTGAGAAACATTATGGGTAATAAAAGGAAACAAGCTTTTATCTTTTCAAGATTAAATAAATAAATTGCATGCCGGCTGTTCTTGGGAATTTAATTTGTTCCTTTCTTGAGAAAATTAAAGGATCAGTGTGTAGGATCTAGTGACAGCATAACGTGCAAAAAATGTAAACAACCCTATCTAGTTAATGGTTTCTAAATGGTCTGCACTTTCCTTTCCTACCACTCAAAGCACTTTACGCTGCATGTCACATTCACCCATTTTAAAACACTGATGACAAGGCTGCCATGTGGGGTGCCAACTGCTCATTAGAAACTAAAGCGTATTCCCACACATTCATACAGGAACAATTTAGGGTTCATTCATTAGCTTGCTCAAGGATGCTTTGGACATGCAGACGGAGGAGCACAATCCATCTAAATAGTAGACGACCCGCTCTACCTCCTGAGCCACAGCTGCCCTTCTGGGCTACTGTAGAAACATGGTGATTTAACATGGTGGCCTCCATGGAAGGTGACCTGCGGCGTCTGTAGACATAAAAGGCTAATTCAAAGGTAACAAAAACATAATTATTATTATTTTCAGGTGATTATACACTGATGATATTGATATTTATGTGCTTTATATTCCATTTCTGCCAATGGATCCGAATAAATGTAACATACTGGACCTGGAGAGGCTGAAAAGTTTTAGGTGGTTTTGAGCCAAGAGAGGCTTTAAAGAAATAAAGGGATATAATAATTTAAACAGGAGTAAAGTTTAGCTTCTCAAACCTGATGGGCATCTGATATACAGTAAAGAACAAGGTTGTGCAACATGTCAGCGGGGTCTAAGGATAGAAGGTGTCACATGCTGTACAGTTTGCAACACCCCTTGAGGTAAATTTGTAATATTGGAATAAATAAATAAAGCTGACTTGTGGGTGTGGTGGTATTCTGTCAACAAGTTGTCATCAGTTGCCTTTACAGTTAGTGCTGGAGAGAAACTCTGTGCAGACCTGTCCAGGTTGTTGTTCTAAATTTGATCCCAATTTCAGTCACGCTCCCTCTTTTCCTGTGAAGGCACACTTCCTCTTCGCTGCTGCCAACGCAGATGTGACGGTGCATTTCAACATGGGCCTGGTGGCAGAAACGGGAAGATGAAAAGAAGTAAGAATTTGCAACGTACTTGGAGCTTTGCCAGTTTCCATGCCTGTGCTCAAATGACTGTGCAAAGTGGGCGTGCTTTCTAGAGCTTCTAAACAGCGATTCCTTTTGGTTTGTTTAGGAGAAACACAAACCTTCTTTTGTGACCCAAAGCCCAGTGTTGGCGACATAACAAAGCCAGTCAATTATTTTAAACCAGGACCTGTTATCCCAGAAGGAGCATATCTTTCTACTAGGAGGCCTCTTCCTTATATTTCACTGTGATTGTACCTTATATGATTACTTGTGACAATTAAAACTGACTGATTTTGATTCAAATGGCTCTAAATGGTCTCAGCTATGAGTTCCCTCTGAAGAGAGATTCACAAAGCTGCGAAGAGAATCTTTTTGTGAGGTACAATAAGATCTCCTGCCAAGTGACGGGGCGGGATTTGACATCATGTTTCATGAATGAACTTCCTTACTGTGCCCACAGAGAGTTGTTGCCAGGTGACTGGTCTGTGTCAGGGAATTTTCCGAATCCCTGATATAATGAGGCCCATTACCTGCAGCACACTGCTGACTGTGAGCAGGTCTCAGAGGCTCTGA